AAAAGTGTTACAATATATTAGGCTCGACACATGCAACATGTTCTTGTGTATGTGTTTGCATATACATGTCTAAATTGGGGAATTGCAATTGACCAAAGTGCAAGTTCACCGTTTTGTTAGGTTTTCTGTATGAGCACATATGATCACATGCCCCCAGCCCCCCGCCAAACAAGTCAAGCAAATGCCCGTGATCATGTGTTATTGAAGTCACCAGTCAAGAAGTGAGAGAAGGTGATGTGGAAGGATGACATGGACTCAATGTAATAAAGGAGGTTCTAAGTACTTTATACTGAAGCAGGCCTTTCGTAACAAAGAGTACAGGAATAAGTACTGTCCGAGTCACTGAATCAAAACTCGTGCGTATATAGAATCACATTCTTACGCTTTGAATAGTGATAACGAATAGTAATAAATTTTTCCATGCACGCGTAGGTAATTAACATATATCTTCAATTTTTTTTTCTAAAAGAGACTATATTTTCTTATTTTTGTGCACTTTTAGCTGAATTTGATTCTACAAATTTGAATTTTGAGCTGGCTATTGATATGGTATTCAGGTTCGTTGGTGAGGCAAAAGTGTGATCAAATTTTGAGTCTCGTGCATTTTGTCCAGGAACATTTTGGAACATTTTATTATAATTGGCAGTGTAGAATTAAAATACTCTTCTGCTTTGAGAATTCAAGACTAAGCCCCTGTTTGGGGCACATTAAAATTTTCATTTTCATTTTTCTACTCATTTGCAATCACGCATTGTTCAATAAAATAATATTTTCCATCACATCAATAACTTTTCCTTCTTTTTCAACCGCACATTCTCCATCAATCTACTATTCCAAAATACATTCTTTCAAAATAGTGTAGCTCAAACACACCCTAATACTTTGGTATTTAAGTTACTATAATTGTTTTTGGCCTATATTGTATGCTCATTTTAAATAGGTGCAATGGTCTACTTAAGAGAGTTTCCTGCAAAATATTTTACAAGTAGAATGACGTTCTGTTGTTTTAATCAAAGTTCCCTTCCATTATACCAAAAGTCTAACAATTTTTATGTAGAAACAAGCTAAACCATATGTAGTTATAAACTTTGGAACATCTGATTCCCTCCTGATCAAATTAGCATGATATGGTTAATGTAGCCAGCTCTCACCATGCGAGTCCCTGTTGTGAACTTTTAAAGGATTTTAGAAGAAAGGGCTTTCTGTAATGGATGATCTTCTGAATCTCTGGTATCTGAGTCAGCTGAGCTGTTTATAGGTGACTCTGCTAAGTGCTAATTAAGGAAACCTGTATCATGGTGCAGTATGTAGATTGTATGGAATAATTTTGATAAAGGCTGTTTTCATGTCTCTGTGGGCTCGAGTCTTATAATTAATAGACCACCTGGATCTTTGTGGGATTTCTCTGCCT